GCTACTAAAGGCTATTTTACCATACTTCTCGCTACATGTTGCATTATTTATTTATAGTTCTCTTGCCTTTGATCAGCAAGGATCAACAATTTCTACCAGCAGCAGGGCCTGAAGTTATGAACACAAAAGATTTACATATACTTACATTTCTAATTCACAACCCTTGTTGTCCCTAAAATGACAATTATTTCACCTTTTCTCAGCAAGGTGACTTCTGTTCAGGGAAATGTTAAGCAACTAGGTTTAGCAGCTCACTGGAAGAAAGTGAGAAGACCCTGGGAATAAAACCGGACAGGAAGTGATTGAGGGCACTGGAAGCCACGTGGCCTCTGGAGAGGCGAGAGGGCAGGCAAGCTACCAGGAGGAAGCAAAGAGACAATGAGAAAGTTTATGCAAATAATAGGTCTCCTCACTGCCTCCTGCTCACTTTTAGTTTGTATACTGTTTTCTGGATGTTTTTCCAGGGTTTCCAAACAAAAAGTTCACAGTGGCTGCCTGGAGCCGGTGAGTTTCCTCCTGAAGCTTGCATCCAACTGAGAGGAGCTAGGATCACCACAAAGGCCATAGCTAAATCTAGAACACTGGGTTAGGGAAAGGACCTAAATGTCTCAGAAGAGACAGGCACAGTCAGGGAAATTCCAGCGCAAGCAAATTCGTGTCTGAGATCGACACGGTATTTAATAGTTTCTCAACTCAGCCCAAATAGTTTCAGTTTCCCAGGCCACTTCCTCAAATGCTGCTTTGGTAGAGATGCTCAAATGTAAACCTATGTTTAATTCAATGTCAAGACTCCCTGCTGGTAGAAGGGGAGCAAACCAGCACCAATCTTTCCTTAGGCTGGAGAGCCAGCCTTAAATGACACTTTGCAATTCCAGTCACTCAGCCCCTACCCTGGGCTTTGTCTTTCAGGGTCTGCTCAACTCCAGGGCCCAGTGATTTCACTCCAGGCAGGCCTGTGGATTAGGTCCATACATACGTGGAGGGCCCGCCATGTGCCAGACCCAGGCTAGGCACAGAATGTACGGAGATGAGTGAGACAAGCAACCTGGCTTCTCGAGTAGCTACAGGCTAGTGGAAAGCAGTAGTAGACAAACTCACCATGAATAATAAGAGGAAAGCATGTATCATCCTGTAGCATATAGCACAAGGACTCAAACAAACCAGGCTCAATAAAAACAGGTAAAAAAATAATAATAAATGCCGGTTATTAATAACTAATAATGACTTTAAAAGTGATGTGGGAAGGGCCCTTCAGATATTTTCTAAGCCACTGGCAGAAGAACTGGCATCCATCAGGCGTCAGGCCTGGCCAGGTTCTCCAACATCCGCATTCTTCTTTCCTATAGAGAAGCCTCCTGGATCCCTGGGCCCATCTCTCAGGCAGAGATACTCAAATGAAACAGTAAACAAATAAGCAGAAAATATATAGCGCATCAACAAATCATCTAGACTCCAACAGCTTCCCACCACTTCCTTCTCCGCTGCTTTGTTCCAAGCTGCCATCTTCTTACCTGCATTATTACAAAGCCTTCATCCTTCTGGTCTCGCTGCCTTGGCACTCGCCCCGCTACAGTGTGTGCTCAAAGCCGCAGCCAGAGGGATCCAAATCAGATCACACCATTCTTCTGTTCAAATTCCTCCAACACGTTCCAGCTCACTCAGAGAAAGAGCCAAAGTTCTTACAACGGCTTTCAAGGCCCGAAATGATCTGGTCCAAATACACCCTATTGCATTCTAAGTGCCAGGTACACTATTCCTGGAACTTGCCAATTATGTTCCCATCTCAGGGCCTTTGCATCACTCGCTGTTCCTGCTGCCTGGAATGTTCTTCACAGATATCTGCATGCCCCCCACCCACCCCCTTGCCTCCTTCTCTGTGAGGTCTTTGTGGTCACATCATTTTAAATTACAGCCACCTCCACTAGCCCTCCTTCTCTCCTCTCCCTGCTTAATTTTCTTTCATTTTGCTTGTCAATCCCTGACATATAACATATTTCTTTTGTTTACTTTCTGTCTCCACTGACTAAATTATAAGCTCCATGAGGGCACGGATTTCTATTTACTCACTAACATATCACCAAAAAGATAGAAGCTGGAAAAAAAAAAAAAGGAAAATGAGATGAACAATAAACACTGTTGGGAAAACAAGGCAGGCAAGGGGAAGGGGGAAAGGAGGAGGGCTGTAATTTGACAGAGCACAGTCAGGAAGGCCGCATGGAGGAGACATGTAAGCAAGAACTTGAAGTCAGTGAGGGAGCAAGGCACATAGCCAAGGTCAGCCACATAATTTGCAGGGCCCGGTGAAAAGTGCAAACGTGGGGCCCTTGTTCACGAAGTATTAAAAATTTCAAGATGGCGGGGCCCCTGGGTGGCTCAGATGGTTAAGCAGCTGCCTTCGGCTCAGGTCGTGATCTCCAGGTCCTCGGTATCGAGACGTGCATCAGGCTCCCTGCTCAGCAGGGTGTCTGCTTCTCCTTCTCTCTCTGCCTCTCCCCTCTGTTCATGTTTTCTCTCTCTCTCCCTCTCTCAAACGAATAAATAAAATCTTTAAGCAATTCTTTTTTCAAGTTGGCAATAGTAGAGCAGGACATCAATTGCAGTGCAGGGCTCTTCTAAGCACGGGGCCCTGTGTGACTGCACAGGTCATACACCCATGAAGTGAACCTTCCATGCAGCTATCAGGGAAAGAGTGTTCCATATGGATGGAACAGCAAGTGCTAAGACCCCAGGAAGGACAGTGCTTTGGGAACAAGAAACAGGCCATGCTTGTAAAACATGAAGATTCCTGGGCTCCTTTTCTGAATATTCTGATTCAGTAAGCTCAAGGTCAGTTAGGATTCTTTATTTTTAGTTTGCCCCAGGGCATTCTCCTAGCCAGGCAAGTTGGAGGAACACCTCTCTCCCCCCACATCTTGGGATGTACCCTGCTGCTAGCCATTGAGCACCACTTCAGATAACCAGTTTCCAATTTGTTCCCCCGGAAACCCAGGGTGGAAAACCAGACCTCCACTGTCACACCTTGTCAGAGTCTTTGTTCTGGGAACATCCCTCTACCTAAAATACTACTGGCTCTTACCAGTCTCTCCGTGCTGAGGGACTGGAGTCCTGCCTGGACGACCAGCTGGGGGGCTGGAGAGCTGTCATCAGCAGACAGGCTTCTCTGAGAATTCCTGCTCCTCTAAGTAAGACAGCAGAGCCATGCTCGGCTCTTGCCAGACGTGGGATGTTAAATTCAAATGTTTGCCTGGACTGAGTCTTAATTTCCAGGTGCACTGCCTTGGGTCTCTAAATCTCCAACATATCATCATCAACTCCTTTAAACAATAATTTAAATATGCTTATGATCTTGGTAGTCAATATTAGAAACTTAACTAATTCAACTTCTTTCCGTTCAGTCAGGGAAAGAAAAAAACTTTTCTGCCTTTTTAGCTTCCACCTAAAATCTCAATTTACAATGAGTAAATCCAATTAATATTTGCCTATTAAAGCAATAATATCACTTCACTGTTACAGTAAGAATTATCACTTTCACTGGTTCTACGGAATCTAAATATTTCATCAACTATAGTTCAGGGCCTAAAGTAAATGATACACATGTAATAAACCAGTGGTTCTCAATGAAGAGTGAGTTTCTTCCTAGGGAACATTTGGCAATGTCTGGATGGGGGGTGGGGGTTGGCGGCCTTCCTGGCATCTAACAGGCAGAGGGCAGAGATGCTATTAAACATCCTACAATGCACAGCACAACCCTAGCAACAACCCCAAAGAATTATAGGGTCCATAATATCAATAGTGCTGTAGTTGAGACTTTGTGGCTATTACACTATAGTTCCCCATTCGTTATACTTGAGCTTAACATCTTAAAATCAAGTCTTTATGAAAGTAGTGAAAAATCTGGTTTACACTTTAACCAAAAGGGGTGATAAGGTTATGAGTAACAGGATCTATAGTAAGCAAAAACATAGATTAGAAAGTATTTGATAAAGGTAGAGAACTGCTGTGAGCAGATGTTTAGGAGCCCTAAGCCACTCAAGTGCAGCCATGGAGGGCACTGGGCTCTAAAGACTGCTGTGGGTAGGAACCAGGGAAATAACACTTCTCTGGATATCATGGATTCCTGGTGCAGTCACCCTGGCCCAGGAGGTAGGACATATAGAAACCATACAGAAGAGACCTTCCTTCTTCAGTAACCAAGATGCTAAGAGAGCTCTTGATAAGACTAGGATAGAAATAAGGATGGAAATCAGAAGTAGAATCTAGATAAAAGCAAATGCTTTATCACTGTGCTAATTCAAGCTGCTCTCAATGAATAAACATACTTAGATAATATCCTTACCTCTCATCCGTCTTCCCATCTGTAAAAAGGTTAATTACACCTACCTCCAAGGCTCATTAAGAAAATCAAATTGAATAAAAACAAGATGGAACAGGACAAACGTAATGCCTGGCACGCAGCAGGCATTCAGCAGAAGGTAGCTACGATATTCCCCAACTCTGCTTTCCTCTGGCCCTCACCCAAAACCAGGCCCTATTGATGTGCATCAGAACTGCAGTTCTATGTTCACATTTAGAAACTCCCAGGCAGAGGGAAAGGGACTATCCATGGCATGATACTATCTATATATGTCTGCACAGCAAGATCCCTGGTCTCACAATGTTTAAATGACCTGCTAGGTAAACATAGAGTATCAGCTAGAAGGTGCAAAATAAATTAGTCTCTATCATTCTGTGAAGGGCCAGAAAGTTTCACTTCAAGAGAAAGATACAGATAAGATCGCCTTTCTTCCCATTCGTGTCTAAGGTGTTTCAGGTAAGAACACTGAAAACTAATACAGAACTCAAATGCAAAAAGGCCATCGCATGGCTCAGAGTTAATTATAAGTAATTTTAATGAGACAATATGCTCCCTCAAGTTTCCATGTTCTTCCCAGAGCTGTAATGCAATATACTTAGGACAAACACACTTATAAATTTATAATAAACACAGCTCTCCAGCTCACCTAGACCCCAGTTCTGGGCTGCAGCTTAGCGACAGGTGTCACATTCACAGTTGCCAGTGAGCCCAGGGGTGTAATTTCACTTCTAAATAAAGCAGCATAATCGATAAAAACCAGAACCATCCTGCGGAAACAAATGTACCATCGCTGACTCATCACAGCGCTTGTTTACAGAGAAAACAAAATTCTCTGCCTGAGTCCACACCTCAGCTGGGCTTTGAGTAAATATGCACTACGGTAGTGTGATCTGGACTGAACATCGGGTGAACGTGGCTCCCTGGTGCTCTCTGGCCTTCCTCACGGATCTGGGCCGAGTCTGGGCAGGACACCGGGAACTCGATGCACTTACCTGGGGAGGGAGCCTCGGCGGCCTGCCCCTCTGGCTACAGAACCACCTTTGGCGACCACTGCCGCGGCCCTCAGCGCGCGCCA